AGTGTTAAATTTTCAACGACGTGCGAATTGGATGTCAAATGTCCGGGGCTATCCCGGTTAAATTAGAAACAGGATAAAAACGGGATTATCCCGGTCAAATACAGTATACCGCATATACGGACGGAAAAGTCCTCATCCGTTTTTGATCCGTCACGATGCATCCCATCCCATCCCAGTAATGACCATGGCTGGGCCCAGCACTAGCCTAATAAACATCCCTAATAGCTACCACCATGATGAGTCAAAGGTCAAGAGTGCAACAAGGAAGTGTTTAGATAGATGGATTGGGGTGTCCTGGTGCTTCTTCTGCAACAGCTTTGGAAAGCTCAAGTGTAACAGGGCAATGGTCACTTCCATAAAATCCTGCAAGAATGGAGGAAAATTAATTCTTGACATAAAAACACTACGAACTTTTTTAGACATCTGGTCGAAAATATTGGTACGATGGAAAAGTAACTACATGAATTTTCTTGACATGCTTTCTCTAATAATCATGTACTCATATAATAGTATCTCAGAACCAATAAGCCTGTTCGGCTGGAGCGGCTGGCTGGTGCTGGCCAGCCCTCTCACGCGGGCACTATTCACATGAACACTGTTCCCAGCCAGGAACAATATTTTTTCCTCACACAAACCAGCCAGCAATACTTCCTCATGAACCAGCAACGAACAAGCCAACAGTTCCGAACAGGCTGAATAAGCATTTACTAAAGACACTGAACTGAAGCATTTTGTAAAAGTGGTAATATTTCCCCTAATAATTATGTACTCATAGATTTTCTTGATAGTCACACTTCGCTCTCGCTCCCTCCCCACCCAAAAACCTAGCTTGGAACTGTGGAATCAATCCAAGCCCAGCACCAATACCAGTTGGTACTTCTGGCACCAAGCAAGACTAAAAAGAGAGAAAACTAAGTGTTCAACCCATATTTTCAAACATTGGATAGTCTCATAGTTTTTGAAGTGTGAGGTTCCACTCCACACAGAAAATTCAAACATCTAGGAAGCCCAAGTTTTCATGCTCTAGCACTGATCATGTACAAACAATGATATGTACATAAACAAGAAAACTGAAAATTACTTTGAATGAGACCCTCCAAAGTTTCGTGTACCATATAACAATGCCAATAAAAGTGGTAATATTTTAACTTCATACCATCTAATTCAATGCCACGGCCATGCATTTCGCATGAAATTATTCTGTCCTTTAACTGTTCCGAAACAAGGAAGTAGTCGATCCTCATTCTCTTTCCTCGGTACCTAGAGGAATATGCAGAGAAATTAATCTCACTAAAAAGATAAAAGATGCATTCAAGTATGCATGCAGCGTATTGACACTTTGGCAGTTTGAATACTGGCTCGGATCCTTTAATCATCACATACTTTCAAAGATCATATTTTTGTTTAGAGCAACTCCAAGAGAGATGATATTTTTTATTTTGAGCCCATTTTAGACAATCTATGATATAAAATAATCTCCAACAACTATACTATCCGGGTTTCCAAAATACCCAGTAGGCTATCCCATCTTTTTCGCTAGCTAGAAATAGCAAGCCTGGGGCGCTTGCCATCGGCTCTCTCGCTCTGATTTCATGGGGCTCCAGTGAACATTTAGTTGACGAGATTGGTGGAGCCAAAACAAACAGTAGATGACATGGCAAGTTTTGACTATGAAACAGGAAATTTACCATAGCTGTTGGAGAATCCATGTTTCTTTTAGGAGATTTTATTTTAGAAGATGGCTAAATCATGGATGAAGGGCGGGGCCTGGTGCAAGCAATAGAGTCTTACCGCTTGTGACCGGAAGGTCCCGGGTTCGAGTCGCGGTCTCCTCGCATTGCACAGGCGAGGATAAGGCTTGCCACTAACACCCTTCCCCAGACCCCGCACAGAGCGGGAGCTCTCTGCACTGGGTACGCCCTTTATGGCTAAATCATGGATATTGAAATCTATTTTTGAATAAACTCTTGGAGTTGCTCTTACACCTTATGTTGAGGACTATGGCCCTGTTTGGTTCCGCTCATCGCGCGTTCGCGACGGGAGAAGCAGGATAATCCCGCCAAACGGCTCGCGATGGTCTCCATCGCAAACGCGGCGTTCACGTTCGATTTCCTCTCCGCAACTGCGATTGGAAAAGCGACCGAAGGCCTGCGATTTGGAAAACGCGAGCCGCGTTCCCGAGCGCTCGCCCGGGTCTCCGCCTGCTCGCAGCTCCGCACGCCAGCAAACCCGCCGGCCGCCGGAGCTCCTCGCCTGGAGCTCCTCCTCCTCGCCTGGAGCTCCTCCCCCTCTCATCCGCCCACAGCTCCGCCGGCGGATCCGCCGACGGATCCGCCCGCTCGCTTCTCCGCTGGCCACCGGAGCTCCTCCTCGCCTGGAGCTCCTCCCCCTCTCATCCGCCCACAGCTCCGCCGGTGGATCCGCCCGCCCGCAGATCCGCCGACAGATCCGCCCGCTCGCTTCTCCGCTGGCCGCCGGAGCTCCTCCTCGCCTGGAGCTCCTCCCCCTCTCATCCGCCCGCAGCTCCGCCGGCGGATCCGCCCGCCCATAGCTCTGCCGACGGATCCGCCCGCTCGCTTCTCCGCCTACCGTCGGAGCTCCTCCTCGCTTGGAGCTCCTCCCCCTCTCATCCGCCCGTAGCCGTAGCTCCGCCGACGGATTCGCCCGCCCGCAGCTCCGCCGGCCGCCGGAGCTCCTCCCCCTCGCCGGGAGCTCCTCCCCCTCTCGGAGCCCGCACCGTAGCTTCTCCCCTACGAAGAAGGACTTGGATGTAAATAGAAACTTTTATTTGGGTCAAGTGGTAAGGCTATAGACTCACAGGAATAGTAGTAAACAGTGCTACATAGTTTGAGAAAAGTCAGGGTTTCTAGTGCAAAATATCCATCTCAAAATAATCGAGCCAGCCAAACGCTCAGCTTAGATTCTACATATCGCGACTTATCAGATAATCTTGCTCAGCTTATAAGCGAGACTCAGATGAGCTGAACCAAACAGGGCCTATGTATGTCAACAACATAATAAAACTGCCTTAAAGATAGTACTGGTTACAGCACATAAAAAATACTAAACTGGTAGGACTTTTTTTAGCCTTGAGACATCTGCAAGAACTTAAGGGAATCAAATTCTAAAGAAAAGAACCATATCTGCTGAACGTGTTCAGTTAAACGATACTCCCTGCGTCCCAAATTATAGCTTGTTTTGGCTTTTCTAGGTATATAGCTTTTGCTAAGCACCTAGATATACGATATGTATACGTAATATAAAAGCTGTGTATATCTAGAAAAGCAAGAAAGACCTATAATTTGGAATGGAGGGAGTATATGCTAAAAATCCAGTCACCCATTGCTTAGCAAAAATGTAGGCTACAGGTCCTAAACATCCATTTAGTCAGCCCAAAAAGGCCCTTTAGCATTTATATGACGCTTAATCAGCCTAAACACAATTGAACATAAATAAACAGCTTCAAGGTGTACTTTTCGGAAATTTCCAAAATGTAGATTAAGATTTAAGACTAGATGCCTTATGAAGCAACCATATGTATACAGTAGGAGAAAAGATTCCTCAAAGATGCAAATGAGAACAGCAGACAAGTCAGAATGAACATGATTCAGTGAGAAATTGAGAATCCAAAAAATATCTGAGGACCAAATGAAGCCCACTAGCACAGAACAGCCAAATGTATCTTACTTGCCAATTGGATGACCAGACCAAGAGAAACCACCGTCTATGTCCTTTTCTTTGTGCAGGTGCCTGTAAGCATCTACCAGCTTTCCTCTGTATGTCCAAGCCATTCATTTGTAAGATATTAAAACTTCATAGCAACAAATATGAAACAAAACACTACAGTAATGCCACCCTAAAACCAAGCAAGGGGCATCTTGATTTATGTGTTGCTCATAATTTCTCGTCAAAAAAATCTTTGCCAAATACTTGCATCGACTTGAAAACATGCTTTCAACCATATGCCATGTGAGGCATTGTTCGATTTATTTCTGTGCTGTTTAAACCTGCAACTGGACCTTGAAAAAAGTTCAGAGAGCTGCGAGTACTAGTTTTTCTATGGTTTTAGGCTTTTAACTCAAATATAAGGTACAACAACCCCCAAGTTGGACCTGCCTAAAGAGAAGCTGATTTTCTATTAATAAAACCATTGTCTCCTCCTGAATTCTCAAATATAATCATAAGTGACATGCTTCTAATCAAATATCTTCAGAGGTACTCATGGACACTATAACTTATCATGTTTCAATCTATCTTGTTGGAATTGTCAAATGTCCAAAAAGCCATCTGTCAGACAATCCAGAAATGTGCAAATAAAGGCCACTCAGTGGTTTTTAACAACTCTGTTCTTACTTCTTAGCTCCAAACAAGGCCAGCATATAATAGCATCACCGTTTATAGCTCAAAAGTCAAAACGATTTAAGACAGTGTAAACAAGTAGTGTAAGCTAATAATTTTTTTGTGGCCTGATTCCTTAAATGGTACCATAATTAGCTATCATAGTTTGTTGACAGATATTTTTCTCATTAAAAATATTTCAGACTTGTGGCATATTTCCTTTTATTCTGGTTAAATATATTCATAGACTTTTGGCACACAGATATTCGAGTATGCTCAGGCCTATATCAATTTGACAGCCTCAGCAAATCCCCAAACAGGATGGCTGTGGTAGAATGAGTTCCGATACAAAATATGGCTCATCTGAGTCATTTATTGAAGAGAAACTAACCAATACTGTTATGTATCTTTTGTTAAACATCCATAATAGGTGGTGCACAGACTGGTAACTACATTAAACATGAATTTTCGTTTTTATGAGACCAGTTAGATAAGAGCATGATAGAACTCACAAATTTATAACATCTTTTTTCTTTTCTTTTCTTTTTTTGGTGGAAGAATTGGCTACTAATTTTAAATGCACCACCAGTGTATAGCTAGTTATAATTAGCCATGCATGGCAGAAGAAAAGGTGTTCCATGGTACAAATGTATTAGTTTCACCTACTGGAATAATATGTTGCCAAAGCGCCGCCTCTCTGCTGGGGTGAATCCTGGCTGCCCACAGTCCTGCAGGTGCAGAATATAAAAAGACTTCATTGTGCTAATGCAATAGCCAAATATACACACCACCAAAAGGATACCAGAGGCCCAGTAGAACTAAAAGATCCAGTCAAATGTGAAACTTCACATGATGGAGCATACAATGTCCTTTGAAGTCTGAAAGTCTAGTCAGTCATTGTCAGGAACTCAATTCTGAACTTAATCAGAAATGCTCCAAGTCTCCTACAGAATCAGATTGTGGGATATAATAGTAAATTACCTCAGATCAACAAATATTTTTGACAGTATGTTATTGTTTACTTAGTTGGTCTGACACCTAATTATTGATAATTGTCTGTTTTATTGTGATGCACAAGTTGGCTACAAATACATGGTTTGTAAAAATTATTATGCTCTATCGAACTATTCAGTAATATCAACTAACTGTTCAGTCATTCCACCATCAGTTGAACCATGTTGTATGTACACTGCTTTTTTTCTCAAACAAACAGAAGAGGGAGAGCTGTGTATTGGTGCATTAAGGAGAAAAGTGTGTAAAACTACAACACCCACACACACACACTCAAAAGAACATAGTATGATCACACCGAGTTAAGTTTATGCTACAATTGTAGTGGTTTATAGAGTTTACAAGTATACTGTATGGCAGAGACACAAGAACAAATCAATTTTGAAATATAGTATAAACAAAAGCTTATGCGTGGAAAACAAACTCATTGACAAAAACACTTCTTGACTTGTATATGGATCCTTTACCTAACCTTGCTCAGTAAGACTAGCAAGGAATAGGGGCAATGATATCCTTGATTTTGGGGAGAGATAAATCCTTTACTAGCAAGGTTTGCCATGTACAACCTTGCCCACTACCAAAGGCACCCAAGGTAAGACAGAAAGAAAATAGAAATATCCACAACCATGCTTTTGGGGGAGAGCCACATCTTTTGCTAGCAAGATGTCTGTGGCCTGTGGGTTGCAGCATAAAACAAATATTACCTCTTGATTGGGTGGGGTGTATCCATTGAGCTTAGCACTGCTAAAGAAATCAGGATGGCTGACGTCGATTTCTTCATGACTGCTAAAGAAAAATGTCATACTGATATAGCAAACATGAACTCCCTGGGCAAATAAATAAAACCAAAACTTCTCTCTGCACTATATATCATATTTTCTTTTAGAATGCAAGATTGCAGATTGTTATTTTGACCAAGTATTATGAGTCATATATGGTTGTTTTGACCAAGTTCTATGTTGTTATCTTGTTAACAAGGACAATACTTTATCTCCATGTTGAATTTAAATATTAAGAAAAGAGTTGCATGAAGTTTAATTTATATATGGTACAAGGAGCAGCATGGGAAGTATTTATTAATAATAAGGTCTATTTTCAATAAGGAGAAATTACTTTCTCAATTACCTGACATTCAAGTCCCCGCACCAGATTAAGGGTTTGTCCACATGTTGAACAAATTCCAGCATCCTCTTGTCCCACTTACGTCTTCTTTGAAATGAATTTTCCTCCTCCTTCCATCCATTGTTTGGAGCATAAGTGTTTAGTAAGAGGAATGATTCAAATTCCGCAATTATAACGCGCCCATCGGTTTCATGCTTAGAAGCTGAAAAGTGCAGGGAAGTGAAATCTAAGAAAGAGTTGTATTACAAGTAAAATTTAGTTATTAAAAGCAAACAACAATTCAATATGCCTATAGTTGTCAAAGAGCTTGCTGGCCTCGACCTTTTCATTCCTTAATTTTAGTTTTTATACAGAAAAACATGAATAGACATATCGAGAGAAGATGAACAGATACACAGAGGCATGCCTTGAGTTTTGTTTTGCAACATATTCTTGCAATGATTATCCTAATTCCAACACAATATATGAAAGTGACCATAATCTTTTAGGACTTTATATGCAAAATACACCCACATGCTCCTCTAGCCCATGGCATAAAAACATGAGAACTAGCTGTCACGATCAGTAAGATGTTTTGCTCTGTTATGATTTTCAACTAGTAGAATTTTCTTTCTTCTCAAAAAAATCCATATTAAAATATTCAGTAAGTTTGGACAGGTTTGTCATAGACTATGAATACAAAATTACAAGCAGTTACTAAACCAGATCTTGAAATACAATCATAAAACTATAATATGCAAAACAGAATGGCTGTGACATTAGAATAGAGAATAGAAAATTGTGTATAGAGCTAGGATATGAAATCATCTCCAAACATACATGTTCTATCCAAGTTGAAAGACACCTTCTTAGGCTCAAACTTTTTCTTTATAAACATAGCTGTCCCAGCATATTTTGAATCTGAAAGAGACCACCAGACACGGTAGTCTTTGAAGGGTGAAGTTGACAAAGCACGCAGAACAACCTGCTTGACATCAAGAAGTGTGACAGTAATGTAACAACTTTGTAGTCGAGCCACTGAATCCAATGTAACAAACGACACTGAGATATAAATCATAATCCAGGAGCTTCGCAGCTTGCTAGTATTAGGAAGTCATATAAGTCTGTAGTAGTTATGAATACTTTTCTGCTTGCACTGCTCACTAAATTTCTTATGTTTTGAATCTCTTGCTCGAAAAATGAAACGCATTCACATGCACAATCAACACATATAACAACAATAGAGGGATGGCCAGACTGCATGGCTCAAAGGTGATCAGGATATTGGAAGATGGAGTTGCAATGCAAGACAGATTGTAACGGAGTATTAGGTCGGTTTCTGTATGTTTGTCCATGGCCTCAGGAGGAATACGTTTCACGATGTTTGTCCATTGAAAATACCAAGAGTGTAGTTATTGCAACGTTTTCACTACCTATTATCATCTGCAGTTCCAATTAAAGCCATACTGGCGAGGCCCACATGAACAGTAGCAGTTGCTATGCTATTGCATGAGCACATAAGTACTGTATCGCAATAGGAATTATGAGCACATAAGTACAGTATCGCTACAGAAATTCCTGTGGGACTGCTGATGCTAGTGGTGCCATGTCCACAACAGCCTAACAGGGTGCAACTGATATGAATAAAAGTGTGCAAGTTTCAAATATGTAGTATCCTCTAACATAATAAGAAAAAAAATCAAGATGATAAAACACATTTTTTGTGGCTGCAAGTGATAGTAATTCCAGCTTAACTGATGATCCAGTAATTTTGAGGAAACACATAACAAAAGTAGCTGTACATATTCACAGAGAGTATATTTATCTTTGCAAATGCCACAAAACCTGCTTTTCATCCCGTGAAGAGCTTGTGTCATCTTTTAGTTCACTGGGGTTTTTAGGTGCCCCTTTGGAACCAGCCGCTGGCATCCGCACTTCCTAACAAAGAAGTTTGGTTTATCTTTATCAGATATACATATATTAATAATCATGTAACTAAGAACAAGATGTGGCCAACTGAGTGAGGAGGCACTGAAAGGACTATGGACTTTTGTATGGCAGACCAATCTAAACCTCCAACTAAGATTCTTCTCTTAGAGATAATAAATTGCAAAGACAATAATAACACGCTAAATAGTTAGAAAAAATAGTGCTTCATGGATGCACTTGTCAGGTAGATTGTGCACATAAAAACTTTTGGGAAAGTGTGGCTTCCAAGGGCAGCAACCATGGCCACAACAACAGTTCTAGGATGAGGTGTTTCACAAGTAGTGGAGAAGTTCTGAATTCTGATGCGCACATACCAACCATATGAGCCCATGGACAAGCACCAACAGCAGAATTAAACCATTAGTTATTTAGAACTCCCTTTGTCCCAAATTATAGGTCATTTTGGCTTATGCTATGTGTATACACTAAAAACTAAACTATGTCTCTAGAAAAGCCAAAATAACCTATAATTTGGAACAGAGGTAATATTAACAAGTGTTAACTTAAAAAAATAGAATCCAATGTCTCAGTGCTTTTACTTTGCCAGAGAATACCTGCAGGGATAATGTGACACTCACCACGAGCAGTAATAAGATATTTTGGGAGCGTTTGGTTTACGTCCAAAGGATGCCACGCCGTGCCGCAACTTCAGCGCCGCAGTTGCGGCATGCGTTTGGTTCACTGCTCCATTTGCGGCGTGCCGCAGCCCTGCCGTGGTCTTCTAGTGCATTTTGGGTGCAAAAACGTGCCGGAGGTGCGGCGGCCGATTTCAGCGCCGCAGTTATGGCGCGGCCAAAGGTTCGGTGCGGCAGCTTGTGGACACCGTCCAAACGCGCCCAAAATCTAAAACCCTTGCTGACCATAAACATTACACTGGTCTCTACCAAACTAAGGGAGCACAAAACCGTACGCCCAAAACCTGCTCGACGAAATGCCTGCAATAACCCACGGTACGCCTCTTGGGGGCGCGTGCATTGCAGCATACGGGCCCCACCGGCCCGCCTACAGGTGGTTCCGAGGAGCGGGTGGCCTTGCAGATTGAACCCCCTCGGGGTCGGTTGAAACCAGATCGCTCACCTGGACGCAGATGACGTCGGGGTCGAGGCGGGCGACGAGCTGCGAGAAAGCGGGCCAGTCGCTCTTCATCCGAAGGAGCAGGCTGTTGGCGTTCCACGTCAGCAACTTGCGCGGCTCCTCGGCGGGCCTCCCCTCTCCATCCCCGCCAGCGCCAGCGCCGGTGGCGGCGCCGGCTGAGGCGGGGCCGTCGCCCGGTTCGGCGGCCGCCGCGTGCCGCTTCTTCGACGGGGAGCCGTCCTTGGGCACGGGCTGGAAGAAGCGCTTCATCGCCTGCGGGCTGCGGGCGGCGGCGGCTGGCTGGCTACACGCGGCAGGGTACGCGGAGAAACCAAACGGTGAGCATTGCAAAATCAGAAAAAAGCTCTGGGGTTTCGAACTCACTGGCTGCGGGGGGCGCGGGCCGCGGGGTGGTCGGGTGGCGGCGTCCCGGCGGCGGTCAGCTGGGGGGAGGGGAAACAGGCGATTTGTTTTTTTTTCTTTTTTCCAGGGCTGCGGGGAGCCACGGGGTGGACGGTTTTTTTACTTTTCCTTTTTTATATTATTCTATTATTATATATTATTACTATTTTCTTGTTCGAGTATTAGATTTCCATAGACATTCTTTTTTTTCCCTAACTGTTTAGTAGAGCTTAAGTGCAGGTAGCACCTTGCCACCTTGGTTCCAGCTTCGGCATTTTCTGGGTCGTGTAAATCAAATAAACGCTAAATGATCGTGGATTCGCTAATCCTTTGACACAAAGAGCAAACGTCTTGGTTTGGCCATCGACGAGACCGAAGCCGGTTTGCCATCCATAAGATTTTGGATCTGGCGAGGCGAAGAACTTGCGATTGGAGGGCACGTTTTTCATATAATGGGCTGTTTGGAAAAGCTACACTTAGTCAAAAAGTGAATTTGGGTCTAGAATTCACCTAGATCCATCGTGGAGCAGCTTCACCAGTGAAGATGGTGGAGCTAGAGCTGTTTAGTACAGCTCCAACTCCATATCTATCTCACTTCCATCTAGGCTCATGCATCAGGGGGCAAAAATGAAAAACTGGGAAAGAAAATAATCATGAGCTTTTCTTCTCCCTCCCGACGCACGGAGGAGACGGGCGCGGCTGATTGGGTTTGTTGAGCCTACGAATTGCAGTTTGTGGAATTCGGTTTGTTGAGCCTACGAGTTGGGCCAAATTGGCTGATTGGGCTGAACATTCTCCCAGGCATTGAACCTGCGAATGATATCGTCATGCACATCTAGGCTGAGGTGGACATCCCACAAATCAATACAAATAAAATCGGCGAGGTGATGGAAGTGGGGTTTAAGTCGTCCCTAATCCAGCAGTCTTCTAGGATAGCTTCCTGTACTGCTCTGTTTTTCTTCCTGCATTGCATATAATATACGCTGTATGCAGCCGGATCCGCGCCCCTTGAACTCACACAAGCCGCCTAAGTACACACGTACGTATCAGACGCACGCACATGGTCACATGCTGGGATGGACAAATATATATACACGTTCCCTTGAACTCACACAAGCCGCCTAACAGTTCCCCAAGCTGCCATGCATGGTTCCTGCAGCACCACCCATGCTCTGCTATACGTACGTGTGTGCATGCATTCTCCATTCTGCGCGCCTCCCTCCCCCATATCCATCCATCATCTGTATGGTGGTGTTCGGTCTGAACATGTCCAGCCAGCCGGCTGGTGCCTAACAGTTCCCGTGTTGCCATGTTTATTAAACCTGCAGCACCACCCATGCTCTCTATACGTACGTGTGTGCATGCGTTAACGTTCTCCATTATTTTTCAACCAAAATTTCCATGATCCATCCGGGACGTATGTAGCTAGATTCATGGCACCGGACACTCAGTGCACGTATCTCGAGTGATCTGCCGGACGGGAAGGCACACAACAACTGGTGTGACACAAGTGAGCTAGCCAAGGGGGGCCTGCACACAATGTACAGTGCCGTTGCAGCAATGCCATGCTGACACGTAACGTGGTGCGAGTGATTAACTGGTGTGTTAGTGAAGCTGCGGCTAATCTGATGGGATTGCACGTGCCTGTTGAGTGAGACTGAGACGCCTGCAATTAATTAGCCGTCACCACCGTCATCTCATCATATACTATAATCGCCAGCAAACACCGACCATTCCTGATTCTGCTCCTGCAGATCTATGTTATATCCCAAAGATCATCTAGAGTAGCATCTAGTTGGGTGATTCTTTTATTTGGGATGAACAATTAGATAACCTAATGAACCGTACTACAGAGTGATAGAGAGAGGAGAGTGGATGGGAGTGTACAGACCATCGGAGGGCGCCGTCGAGGAGGATCCGGCCATCTCGTTCTGTCGGTGACGTTTTGCGCACGGGCAGCGATGGTCGGAGAAGAGTCGGTGAAGTCCGTCGACGCGGTGGGGTGCAGTGAGACCGACGGTGATGACGGTGGCGTCTTCCCGTCGCTGGCTGCGCGCCCTTACTAGATCGGACTTAGGGTTTGTTGGTGGGGCGGATTGGCTCACGGTGAACCTCGTACTATGAGCCGCCGTCCCCACCACTTTATATAGCGTAGTGCGACGGGGGCCCACTAACCATGTAGGGTTGGGCGCCCCCGATCAGGGCGCGTGACCAAGGCCCAATAGGCCGTTGGGCTTATTGGCTGGGAGATCAATCCAACATTCTCCCCCTTGATCTTACAGTATTACTTTTATCTTTAAACTTTAAACTTCAATCCTTTTATCCTTACTCATTTCTTCATAGATGATGCATAGAGCATGTTTCATCGTCACGATCAATCGCCGATATATTTAACAGCTACAATGCACGTCTCTGATCTGAAATAGATACTTTAACTTTTGGGCCCTTTATAGTTCAGGAATCATAGGCTTTCTCTTAAACCCATGCCGGCTACATGTTCTCTGAACACGTTGGGTGGTAAGCCTTTTATAAGCGGATCTGCGAGCATCTTTTCGGTACTTATATGCTCAAGACTTATCATTTGATCCCGGACTCTATCATTCACAACATAATACTTTATGTCAATGTGTTTGGCAGCACCACTTGACCTATTGTTGTGAGCATACTGTACTGCTGGATTATTATCGCAGTATAACTTCAGTGGTCTATTGATATCGTCAACCACTTTCAAACCGGGTATGAACTTCTTTAGCCAGTTCACCTGCCCCGTTGCCTCATAACACGCTACAAACTCGGCATACATTGTGGACGATGTAGTGACGGTTTGTTTTGAGCTTTTCTATGAAATAACTCCCCTTGCGAGAGTGAATACATATCCAGACGTGGATTTTCTATCATCTCTCGCATAATCAGAATCCGAGTACCCTACCAATTGGAGAGATTCTGATCTTCTATACGTCAACATGAGGCCTTTCGTACCTTACAAATATCGTAAGACTTTCTTTACCAATTTCCAGTGTTCCATTCCTGGATTACTCTGAAATCTGCCAAGCAACCCGGTAACAAAAGCTAAGTCAGGGCACATACACACTTGCGCATACTGTAATCTTCCTGAAGCATATGGAACTGCTTTAATTTGATCGAGCTCGTACTGGTTCCTAGGGCATTGAAAATCCCCATATCTATCGCCCTTGACTATAGGAGCAGGCGATGGACTACATTTATGCATACTGAATTTCTTTAACACTTTTTCTATGTATGTCTTTTGTGACAGTCCTAATACCCCCTTTCTTATATCTCGGTGAATTTCTATGTCCAAAACATATGATGCTTCACCAAGGTCTTTCATGTCAAACTTTGAGGACAAAAATTTCTTTGTCTCCTGCAGCAGACTCACATCACTACTAGCAAGTAGAATGTCATCCACATACAGAACGAGGAAAATAAATCTCCCATTCTTAAACTTTGCATAAATGCAATTGTCCTCAACATTCTCTTTAAACCCAAAATTCTTTATTGTTCTGTCAAACTTTAAGTTCCACTATCTTGAAGCTTGCTTCAATCCATAAATGGATTTCTTTAGGCGGCAACCCATTCTTTCCTTTCCTTCTACAACAAAACCTTTTGGTTGTGCCATGTAAACATTTTCCTCTAAATCTCTATTTAGGAATGCTGTCTTTACATCCATCTGATGTAATTCTAAATCATAATGTGCCACTAATGCCATTATAATTCTGAGGGAATCCTTACATGAGACTGGAGAAAATGTCTCATTGTAATCTATCCCCTCTCTTTGTGTAAAACCTTTCTCCACAAGTTGTGCTTTAAACCTTTCTATATTCTCTCTGGAGTCATATTTTGTTTTGTAAACCCATTTACAGCCTACTGTTTTGGCTCCTTTAGGAATTTATTCTAAATCCCAAACACCATTGGAACTCATAGATTCCATTTCATCTTTCATAGCTTTCAACCACTTTGATGAGTGTTCGCTTCTCATGGCTTCTTCATACGAGGTGGGATCACCCTCCATATGAAACTCTTCAGTATTATAGATTTCATAATCATCAGAAATAGCTGATCTTCTAACTCTTTGAGATCTTCTAAGGGCCTCCACATTTGGCACATTTTCTGTTTGATGCTGTTGTTGCTTCCCCTCATGTGTGGCAATGGGTTCTGTAGGATTCTGAACCATGGGTTCCTCATCCTCATTTGTTGTTGCCATAGGAGGAATAACAACAGGTGCTGGCACCACAACATCTTGCATTGTAGGTGTAGCAGCAGCAGGTAACTCAAAAAATGGCTCCTGAACTATTGGAGTGGGTGCATACACCCGTTTCTCCTCAAGATCAATTTCTCGAGCTACCATGCTCCCCCTCATCATTTCATCCTCTAGGAAGACAGCGTGTCTCGTTTGCACAAACTTTGTATGTCTATCTGGACAGTAGAAACGAAAACCTTTTGACTTTTCTGGGTAGCCAATGAAATGGTAACTTACTGTTTTGGGATCTAACTTCTCAATGTTTGGGTTAAATACTTTAGCCTCAGCAGGACTCTCCCACACACGTAAGTGGTTTAGTGAGGGCACTCTTCCTGTCCATAATTCATACGGTGTTTTGGGCACCGACTTACTTGGTACTCTATTGAGAATATGAATGGCGGTTTTTAACGCCTCCATCCACAGGCTCAACGGTAAGGTGGAGTAACTTATCATACTACGCACCATATCCATCAGGGTACGGTTACGCCTTTTAGCTACTCCATTCTGCTGAGGTTCGCCTAGTGTTGAATACTGGGCGACTATACCATTCTCCTGTAAGAACCTTGCAAAAGGTCCAGGAACTTATCCATATGGGGTATGCCGACCGTAG